TTTGTCTGTGGTCCAACATACCATTCTGGAGTTAGATTAGTATAGTCGCGGCGCGAAGCGCCGCTCACACCTTCGATTTACATGCGGAACAACCTGCTCCCAGCGGCCGCAGGAAGCAAATTCGAGTACATTTTTTCACTTTCCGCTTACTTCTAAAAATTTCCTTCTCTGCCTATCCTATTTCCCCACCCCACAAATATATTACCACCGTTTTTTGGGACAAAATTCTGGGAATCGAGGTATATGAGTGGGGCTCCATAAGCTACTTTTCCCGAGCACTAAGTCCGAAATTACTTTGATGTAAGTGAAGCCATCTTGAAGGAATCGCATTTATTTCTAAAAACAAGGAACGGTGTCGGTTAAAAAAATTTATCGTTTGCTAAATTGTTAAGCTTTTTGGCACAAAATGCAGTAGAAGATTTCAAGCGCATTTTTTTAACCGCACCGAATGTTAGAAGACGTTAGCAATGCTAGCCATATATTTGTGCGAGCACATAGACAATACCCAATCTATCTATATCAAAATCATGTAGAAATATACCTTTTTATACATTATAATTTCCGCTTATGCGTAATTTAGAGACAGAAGACACAGAAAAATAATTATTTGAAAAAGTGCTACATATGGCCAATATTTCTTGCATTCCAAAGTGTATAACATATCCTAGAAGTAATTAACTCGGACGGAAAGTAATCTAATATAGAGAGAAGAATAGGTTCTTTCATTTTCAATCAGATAAAGTCGTTTATTTTCAGGTAAATTTTTAAATAATGTCAAAATTCTCCATTTTCATTCTGAAATTACCTTGGAAACGGAAATTGTTACGACCTGCGCCGTGTACTTGTAATTAGCAGGAACTCTGAATTTGACCAGTTGTCGTCCCGAAAGCTCACGAGAGAGCGAGAGAATTCAATGCGTCAGGGGGAGAAGTGTATGTTCCCAGTAAACGTCAAGCAAGACACTCTTACAAAAGGCTGTGGGTCATTTTTTTCAGTCGGCTCCACGAGTAGGCGTCACTGACGGGTGACCAATCAACTATGACGAAAACTCGATAGCCACGGCGCGCTCTCATGGCAGAGGCACGGATTTGCACTCGGTGGCCTGTCTGTAAGTTGAAAAATCTCGGAAATCGGCGCATTCCGTACACCTGCCCTTCGAGTAGGTCAGTACTGCTTATAGCGTGGATTGACGTGTATGCGCTGTGTGTTTCGGCGAATACGTGTTAAGCGTAATTACGGCTTCGGGATCATAACTTGGTTCCGGGAGCAGTACATCCGAAAGGGCTGCAGCATTCGGTTCAGGGACTGAATGCTCTGCTGGAAATGCAAAGGTGTCCAGCAAGATGTCGAGCTGGAGCAATGCGCATGATTCGGGTCCGGTTGGATTATTGCACTGCCGCTGTCAGATCTGGTTTTGGTGATGAACCCAGGTGTCATCACCGACAGAGACATCGAACAACATACTGCCTCTGTGCGCTGTTATCGTCGCTTCTATCCAGTCTGGGAATCCTTGTCGATAGACAGGTGTTCCGACGAGAAGCTTGCCCCGAGAGGCAGGTGGAAATGAGTGCGAAGACGGCAGACCAGTAGGCAACAGTTCATGGAACTTGGTTCGTTGCTTCCGGCCCATTAATGCTTCGGCAGGTGAGATACCAGCAGGAGAGGCCAGGTTAGACGTGGTCCTATAGGAAAACAGAAACGCCTGGAGTATCTCGTCCATACTCCCCTCCACACGAGTTTTCAAAGGGACTCGCTTGAATTTTTCAACAAAAAGTTCCTCCTGACTG